GCATTAGATCGCAGCTCGGGGGAGGTGGGGTTCCTCCCTTGTCTTTTCTCTGAGCTGGATAGAAAGGTTCTAGACTCCATCCAGGGTCCACGCCATCCTCACCCCAGCCACTGCTCTTCTCCACCACTCAGCACGACTGGCCGGCTGGGCTCCCTGGGCTGTGGGAGGGAACTGGGCTATAAGAGACTTGGAGGCCTTCCGAGAGCCAGATCCTCAGGCCAAGACTTTCCCTTGAGCTTTGCGCGGCTTCAGAGCATCACCTCCCAAGATAGGTACCAAGTCAATTACGGGCACTCTGCCATTATGCTCTTCCTCGGCCACCATCCCCATCCGGCCCCAGAGCTCTGACCCTCCTGGGCCTCCACCCATCTTCAACACGCTGCAGATTCAGGACTGGGGAAGGAAGTCGGATGGACCTGTGCTGGGATTTAACAAACTCTTTGGGGACCTTGATTCTCAGGAAAGAATGGCAGTGACCCAACATGGATTAGGGACCCGGTCGGGAAATTCTACAAACATAAAGATCACTAGCTTGTGTGAACCTGTCTATCAGGCTGGGACAGGATACGAGGGGGGAAGAATCAAGTTGCCACCGAGTGCTCTATCAATAAAGATGCTGTCTCAAAATTGGTCTGTTTGTTTTCCACTGACCCTATGGCTGAAGACATCCTTGACTTGCATCTGAATACTTTCTAGTTATCCAATGTTACATCATCAGGTAATAGAAGTATAATATGGCTGTGCCCTGTACCTTTTACCATCCCTGGCCTTCTAAACTTTACCTTCCTGTTTCTCTTAGCAAATGAAATTGTCAGATTGTCAGTGGTTCATTAAACACACATTATGAAAATGTGAAATGCTTTTAAAATAAAAAATGCAACCCATGCAGAAACTTAAGGCTAGTGATAAATGCCAATAATTGTGAAATAGCTAGACCAATATTAAGTGAGTAACTGAAAAATAAAAGCCTGTGTTTTTTAGGCTTTTATTAGGACAAGCCCATATTGGAGACCAGCCAAATTATGTTTATGCATGGCCTTAATAAACCTATATTCTTTAAAAACCTAAATTTTGTCTTTAAAGGTTTTTCATAAGCAATAGCTTGTATGTTTCTTGGCTTTGGGAAGTGGCTAGGTGGTAGAACACTTAAGGTGATAAATTCAATTCCCACACTGGAAAAAAAAAAAAAAAACAGTACTTTTCAACTACTTGGTAGTGGTTTGAATAAGAATGGCCCCAGAGGCTCAGATGTTTGAATACTTGGTCTCCATTTGGTAGAACTATTTGGGAAGGATTAGGAGGTATAGCCCTGATGGAGGAGATGTGTCACTGGGGGGTGGGTTTTGAGGCTTCAAAAGGGTTGTGCCGCAGTGTGTGTGTGTGTGTGTGTGTGTGTGTGTGTGTGTGTGTGTGTGTCCAACTCTGGAGCTCACAGCTGTTCTTGCCACCATGCCTTTGCTAGGTCATGGTGGACTCAAATCTTCTGAAACCATAAACTCCAAATTAAATGCTTTCTTTTACAAGTGGCCTTGGTCCTGGTGTATCACATCAATAATTTTATCTCAGCAATAGAGAAGTAAGACCTCTTAGGTCTTAGGAATGTGTTTTTACTCAAGATATAAATGTTAATGAAGGACAATATGGAGCTGCAAAAGAATTTATAAAATATGTTGACCTAAGTCATGCATCAAAATAATTCTGCCTCCACTTTATCCCCTTACAGGTTAACAGATATGGAGATCTCCACCAGGATTTGGAGAATAGTTGTCAATGGCACTGAAGTTCTGGACTAGGTTTGTTACGAAAGGTAAAGAAACCAGGAGTCTAAAATGGCTTTTCTTTTCTTTTTTCTTTTCTTTTTTTTTTTTTTTTTTTTTTTTTTAAAAAAAAAAAAAATGCAGGGTTAAAAAGGTTTTTTTTTTTTTTTTTAAAAAAAAAAAAAATGCAGGGTTAAAAAGGTTTTTTTTTTTTTTTTTGAGACAGGGTTTCTCTGTGGCTTTGGCTTTGGAGGCTATCCTTTGGAATTAGCTCTTGTAAACCAGGCTGGTCTTGCACTCATAGAGATCCTCCTGCTTCTGCCTCTCGAGTGCTGGGATTAAAGGTGTGAGCTACCACCTCCCGGCTCTAAAATGGCTTTTCTAATATTAAAAATATCACCTAGTTGTTCTGCCTTTCTAGGAAACTAAGTAAGAGAATACAAATTTGTGATCCAGCCCAGAGTGTTTTAGGTGAGAGCTAAGGGTCTTCTAAGTGTCATGTTGCCTCTATGTTAAGCTGAATTAATGTGCTTAGGAGCCAGTTATTTGAAGAACTTTTTAATGATGGTTCTAACTATTCATTATAAGAAACTAACCTTCTTTGAGCACCTTGAACAAAACCTCTCACTGCTGAAGCATGTTTGCATATAATTATTCTGTTAGCCTCTTTGGATCCCCATGCATATTATTACCTCCTTTTTATAAACGAGGGAAGTTGAAATTCAAAGCTGAGGCATTTTGCCAGCTTTTGTGTCAGAGTTGGGCTTTGAACCTACATATGTTACCATGTTCTTTGTAACACCTCTCTGGCTCCCCTAACTGAAAACTGGTTGGTGGGCTGAAGGATCAATGATGTCCTAGCTGCCAGAACACATTCACCACAGGTACAGTATCATTACTGTTTTTGCTATACTTACAGTTGTACTTAGTCCCTTTGGGAAACTACTGCATATGACCATAGACTAAGTGGTTTATGAATAGCAAATGTTGATTTCTCGCAGTTGTGGAGGCTGTAAGTCTGACCAGAATGCCATAGTGTTTGGTTTCTGATCAGGGCACTCTTCTGGAATGCAGACTGCTACTTTGTAACTGTGTCCTCAGGGCAGAGGTGGCAAATAAGCTGTCTGAAGTCACTTAGAAAGACACTAATCCTATCCATGAAGTCTCTGCCCTCATGACCTAATTGCCACCCAATTTCAGGCTGTGAATGTGGTGGGACGAAAACAGTCATTGGTAGTACTTTCTAGCAATGATCTCTCCTAGTACTTAGTAGGAGAGATCTAGTAAATGTGTTTAAACTGAATTGCTTGGATTATGATCTTGTCTGAATAGTTTGCATTTAAGTAAAGGATTCATTGAAGCAATCTTTCATGAATTTTCCAAGGAGAGGAAATGCCAGGACCTTGAGATAGGAAGGTTCTTGGTTGTATTTGAAGAACATCTAGGAGATTTTGGCTAAGTGGAAGATGACTGATGGGCATATGCCTGAAGAGGAAATCATGTATGGCCTCTGCCACTCACTTTAACAAGGTTAATTCCATGAGCACATGGCGAACAGAGTGTGATACATCATAAAGAAAAAAAGAAGAAATTTTTAGAAATAATGGTTTATTGAACAACTATAATATGCCATGCTCTGGGCATTTGTTTAACACATTTAGGACTTTATTTAACACATTGACACTACAGGATGTTATGTACATCCTAATTTTACATCAAGAAGAAAATAAGAAATAGAAACATTACATACCATACTTCACACAGGGCAAAGATCCAGTTTCATCCAGGTCCTTGATTCCAAAGTCTGGCTTTTTACATGATAGCACATTTTCCCATTTGGAGAAAGGTGTGTGGATGCAAGTGCAAGTTTTCTAGATCAGCTAAGTCTGTGGTATGTCAGTAGGGGGTTGTCTTGACTAATTGATATGGGAAGACCTAGGCTATTGTGGGCACCACCATTCCTTTAGCCTGCTTTTGTCATGGACATTTTTTCCTTCACTTTGAATTATGATATACCCAGATAGTTTGGCTGGGTATATTAGACTAGGCTGACAATTGTGAACTTTTAAAGTCTGAAAGACACCAGTCCCATCCCTTTTTGGTTTGGATTGAAAATCAGTTGTTTTGATGACCTGCCTTAGTATGTGACTTATCCTTCTCTTTCACAAATTCTGATATACTCTCTTTGTTCTGTAAATTTAGGTTTTAACTATAATGATTTAGGGAGTTTCTTTTTCTGGTTCTGTCAATTTGGTGTTCTGTGTGCCTCTTGTATTTGGATAGGCTTCTCTTTCCCTATTTCAGAATTTCTGCTATGATTTTATTAAAAATATTTTATATGTCTTTTGAATGAAATTCTTCTCTTTCTTGTATGGCTATAATTCATAGGCTTACCTTTTCAAAAACTCCCAAATTTCTTGTATAATCTAGTCATACAGTTTTAAACTTTTACTATTCACTTTGATTGGGTGATCCAATCCTATATTTTATCTTCATATCCTGATTATTTTCTTTTTCACATGATCCATTGTATTGACAAAGCTTTCAACTATACTTTTATTTATCTACTGTATTTTTCATTTCTATCCTCATTTGATCTGAGTTTTTCTCAGAATTCCTATGTCTCCATTAAATCCTACTTTTGTGTTATGAATTGACTTCATTATTTCATTCAGCTGTCAATATTCTCTTGGTAAATATGGAATTCCTGAGGTGTTTTACCATATTTATAGTCATTCTCTTAAATCCTGTATCTGGAATTTCATCTAAGTAATTTTAATTGTGGATCACTACTGTGTAATTGTTAATGTTTGGAGGTGTCAGGTTGTCTTGGCTTCATGTTACTTATGTTTTCTCATTGGAGTCAACCTATCTTGAATTAGAACATTGGCTAAGGTTTTTGTTGTTGTTCTAATTCTTTCTACCTTTCTTCTGTTCCTGGGTCTATATGCAGTGTTTGAGGGAGACTAAACCATAGTACAGTTGTGGTGATGTTTTTATCTGTTAGACTTGTGTTTCAGCACAGGACTCTATCTGTAGTCTGCCCTGTGGGTTAAGTACTACCTACAACACATTGATATCCAGTAGTTAACCACTCTGAAAGTAGACTAACAAAACAACCCTTGATAAATACTGATTAATTTGAGGAATGAAGATACCCTGATAGTACTGTATAGACTAATATGTTAGTATGAATAATTGACAAAGAAAAAAAGAAAGAAAAAAAAAGGCCATCACTCACAATACTAGTGATAGGTACTAGGTTGTTAGGTGGGAAGTTGAGGAGAGTACACAGGAGTGGGAATGATCGAAGTAAAGGAAAAATGGTGTACGTATGTGGGGAATATGTACTCATATATCATAAACCAGGCCAGCCTCTGGACTTCAAGAGAAGTTGAATAAGAAGAATGCATACAGAGGAAGAGCAAGGACTTAAAAAGGAAGAGGGTGTGGGGTAGTAAAAGATTCAAACAGTGGGTGGCAGTATTGTCCTGCTACAAGACCTACTGAACTGCTGCAGCTAAGAATAACTAATAGAGAAGGAGGGCTGGGTGGAGTTGTAGGCTATGAAAGGATTGGTGAAAGAACAGTTTCATTCTCACAGCCTTAGGAGCACCTGGTGGCTGCAAGGTGCCCAAAGCACTGTTAGTTCCACAACTCATCTTTTTAGTGCACATTTGTGTTTCTTATTGGGAAAGATGTCTGCTCAGTTTATTGGCCCGTGTGTTGCAGTTTTTAATACAGGCTAGCTACTAACAGTGTGCAGTATAGCTGGCCAATGTTCTCTTGCTCTGTAGGCTGCAGTTCTTTCTGTTGGTTGGTTTCCTTCATTGTGCAGTAGCTTTTTATCTGTATGTCAGTGCTATCTATGGCTGTTTACTATGCTGTCAGGCTTTGAGTCATATATCTCCATCCTGAAGTGTTTTTCTTTACCATTTTCAGAGTGTCATGTCTTACATTAAGGTTTTTGATCTAGTTTGAATTGATTTTTGTACAAGGTGAGAGACACAGTCCCAATTTCATTTGTCTGCAGACTAATAGTCTGCTTGTCCAGCGCCATTTATTTAAAGGCTATCCTTTTTCACATGTATATTTTAATTAATCTTATTAATTTAGATTGGATTACTCTTTTGATTAGTTTAATTAATAGTTGGCCAATCTTATTCATCTGATGAATTCTCTGCCCCTACCGCCCCCTCCATCCCCAGGTTGCTGAGCCATTCACATTTGCTGGTGAATTTCTTGTCTCCTCTTGCAGTTGGTGGTCCCATGGTGCCTGGATTAGATTCCTGTCTGCACTAGACTGTGATAGAAAAGGAGCATTGTGAGCACTGGTAACCTCCCATTCAGATCGGCATGCCCCTCCTCTGTCACTTCCCTGACCTCTGCCTGGTGTGGATTCCCAGAAGGTGCAGCTGCTAATGCTGGGTCCCTGCAGCACTTACCTCTGCAGTCACAAGCACAAAGCTGCCTCACTAATCTTGTTTTTAATAGGACTGTATTGTTAAAACAGACTAGAGAAGGGTCATTGGTATCAAGTTTGGATCCATGTAAAAGCCCTGTGTAAGCAAACACGCACAGAGATGAGTAGTGGGCTGTTATTAGGTGCTTGCGGCTACCCTGCTACCGCTGCCATCTCCCAGTGGATTATGTGAATGGCTCCTGGGCTCTGTTCTTCCTCAGCTGCATCCCATTGTTCACCCAGTGCCCTAAGCAGAGTCTTAAAATATAACTCAGATTTTGTCACTCACCTTCATGAAATCCTTTAGAGGATTTCTTTCAACCTAAAATAAGATCCAAACATTTTACCATGACCTCCAAGTCACTCCCAGGCTGTCTTTTCCTGTCACTTCACCTCTTTATCCCTCTATTACATCCTCGAGAGATCTGTTGTCAAATACCCTGCACTGATCCCACAGAGCCTTCATGGTTCCTTTTTTGCTTGGCACACTTTTGCCCATAGCTCTCCAAAGCCGATGTCAGTTTTGATTGTCAGGTTCGTGACTTCACTATCTCATCTTGAGAATGACCTTCCTGCCTACCAGGTCAAATGTCCTACATGTACAGTCCCTGTTTAACTAACTATTCTGCAGTTGTAACCTTCATAGGTGACACTATATGGAATTTATTTTTTAATTCATCATGTGTGTCTTATTAGAATATGAAATGATGTGAACTGAAACTTGAATGGGAATGAGCCTAGAAACAAGTCACCCTTGTTTTTTGTGGTGTCCCTATACCAGAACACTGCCTGCCATATAGACACGTGGCATATTTATTTAGTGACTATACAGACTTTAGTTATGTTGATTACCAAACAGTAAGTGAAATATAAGTGCATTATGAAAGTGATATAACTGGGTGGTGGTGGCTCATGCCTTTAATCCCAGCACTTGGAAGGCAGAGACAGGCTGATGTCTGTGAGTTCAAGGTCAAGCTAGTCTACAAAACAAGTTCCAAGACAGTTGGATCAGTTACACAGAGAAACTCTGTCTCAAAAGAAAAGGTAATTCATGTATTTTATTACCATTTGTACTTTTTGATAATTGTAGTAATAATTTACTGCTCCCCTAGGGGCTTTTAGTGATTAGTTTTGGACACTTGAAGAAAAAGTTGTCTGAAGAATTCCTTGTCTGATCAAATCATAGAAGCTGGCCAGATACAACAGCACATGCCTGTAGTTCTAGCTTTAGAACTCAGGAGCCTGAGGCAGGGAGTACTTAACTCTGAGACCATCCTGAGATGCATAAAAAGTTGCACAGTCGGGCCTACATAGCTTGGCCCAGCCTCAGTAAATACAAAGCAAAATTTGAGGGTAATAATTTTCCACACATGTGACTGCTCTTCTCTCTAATAATAACATTTTTATTCTTTACATACTCTATGAAGAAATTTTAACTTTTTAGAGACTTAAACCTTTTGCCTGTAAACATCTGTTCTCCTTCTTTGAAAGAAATGAATAAAAGACTAAGGATGTGGCCATACTATCTGATTTCACTCTCAGCTGGCAACCTTCTGCTAACACTGGGTTTGAGTCCAGTGTTCTCCCACCACCTCAGCTTCGTGATGGATGATGACATCACACAGAATTTAAAAGTTGTTGTCTATAAAAATTTAACTACTACACAGACACACCAGAGCCAATCCCATGCTGGGAACGTTCTCTATCAATGAACTATATCCCCAAACTGTCTTTGTCCATTTTGAGATGGGGTCTCACTAAGTTGCCCAGTTGAGTCTTGAACTCACCTTCTCCTGCCTGCTCAGCCTCCCAAGTAGCTGAGATTACAGGCCTGTGCCCTCAGGCCTAGTGCCATCAGGCCTGGTTAGAAAAGTGAACTTTGAAATAATTTCTGCAATGCTTATTTAAATAAGCAATGTCATTTCACATTCAATACAGTGTATTAAATAAAGTTATTTAAAATATATAAAATTCCCTTTAGAATATGTAATAATAAAGAATCTAAAGTACAAATGCATTTTGTGCTTAGACTTAGATCTCATCCCTAAGATATCTCATTATATATGTGCAACTACTCAAGAAGAATATAAATTATATATATATATATATATATATATAACATATAAAATGTAATAAATAAAAAAGCATCAAAATAAAAAACATTTTTGGTCCCAAGTATTTTAGATATCAGATACTCAGTTTCACAATTTCTTTACTATTGTTTGCTATATTTAATTTCAATAGTCCTATGTATTCAGCTTAAACTAAATTTTTACATTTTCTTTACCTTGGTAACCATAGATATCATATTGAAGGAATAATTCCAGAACCAACAGCTAAGCTCTCCAATTTCTTCTACCAACCTGAGAACAGAGTTTCATGGGACAAATCATTGCAAGGATACAATGTGGTACACAAGATTGATTCCGTAATTACTATTTAATAATGAATAATTGTTTAGTGTATTACTATATTTTAACTAATATGAGTTATTAAAACTGTGTAGTATTCAATAATGTCTTATAGATTCAAATTAGCTGTTACAGGGGTGGGGATTGAACCAAGAGCCATTTACATGACAAGCAAACACTGAACACACACACACACTCCATACACATATACCACTACTTTTATTAAAATACAGTTTGAGACCAGATCTTACCTATTTACCCAGATCTCAACATCTCTTTTCTGAGTGATAGAATTATAACCATGGACCACTACACCTAGCTGCAAAGTTATAAAAGTCATCAAATATTCATTTTTATTAGTCAAGAGTCTCATTCCAATGAGCTTTCTTCTGTTTGTAAATAATCAAATTCCTAATGTGCCAGTCTCTCATATGTAGTTTTTTTATGAGGGAATTAAACTTAGATATCCACCTCTATTATATGGAACCAAATTTAAACATGCCTTGTTGATGAGGAGTCAAAATTATATTGCAGGGAGAGCATGGTATATACCCATGAGTACAGGGGCTCAAGGAGGCCAGAGGCCTAGCACCCACATGGACTTGTAGTTACTAATGATTGGGAGCTATCTGATGTGAATACTGGACACCAAACCCTGGTCCCCTGAAAGAACAGGACGAGCAATTATCCTCTGAGCCATCTCTCCAGTCATGGGTCTTGGGGTCTTGTTGCTGCTCTTTTGGTTTTTAAGAAACCCATATGGTCCTAGTGCTCCCTACACTGCCCCTTATGGCCTGAAACTGGAGATTCTCCTGCCTCATCAGTAATATGACTACAGGTTTCCTGGCTGAGTTTATTTTATGAATATAACTGTAGAAAACAGGTACAGTGTTGATAAGCACTGAAGAACAAATAGTAGATACTGTGGAAAATTAAAGACCAGATGGGTTAGATAGCCTGTTGTATACAGTGACAAACAACAAAGAGGACTTGCTTCAATCAAAATGGATGGCAAGAATTAAAAACAAAGTTCTCTCTCTCTCTCTCTCTCTCTCTCTCTC